TGTGCGTGTGTGTGTGTGTGTGTGTGTGTGTGTGTGTGTGTAGTTCTAAAGGGAACAGGACTGGAGTGAACATACGTCAACATAACTAAAGCTATATACAACAAACCCACAGCCAACACCATTCTAAATGGAAAAAAAACTGGAAGCAGTGCCATTAAAATCAGGAACCAGACAAGGATGTCCACTATTTCTATTCCTTTTCAATATATTGCTTGAAAGTCTTGCCAGAGCAATAAGACAAGAGAAGGAAGTTAAAGGAGTACTAATTGGAAAAGAAGAGGTCAAATTATCCCTTTTTGCAGATGATATGATACTATATGTAAGAGATCCCAAAAATTCCACTAGAACACTCCTAGAACTGATCAACACTTTCAGTAAAATGGCATGTCACAAAATTAATCTACGAAAATCAGTAACCTTTCTATATACCAATAACAAGCAATCAGAGAATGAGTACAGGGAAACCCTTCTGTTCACAATAGCCTCAAAAAAACATCAGAATAAATCTGACAAAAGGCATCAAAGATCTCTACAATGAAAAATTTAAGTCTTTAAAGAAAGAGATTGAGGAAGACGTCAGAAGATGAAAGGATCTCCCATGCTCATGGATTGGAAGAATTAATATTGTGAAAATGGCCATCCTACCAAAGCAATATATATATTCAATGGAATCTCAATAAAAATCCCCATGACCTACTACACAGAATTAGAAAAAGCCATTCTTAAATTCATATGGAAGCACAAAAGACCTGGATAACCAAAGCAACCCTGAGCACAAAGAGCAGTGCTGGGAGGATTACTATGCCAGATCTCAACATATACTGCAGAGCTATAGTCATAAAACCAGCATGGTACTGGCACAGAAATAGACTCTTAGATCAATGGAACATAATTGAAGACCCAAACCCGAGTAAACACAATTTCAGCCACCTGATATTTGACAAAGGTGTCAAGAACACACAATGGAGGAAAGGCAGCATCTTCAACAAATGGTGCTGGCAAAACTGGACCTCCACCTATAGAAGAATGAAACTAGATCCTTATCGTTCACCTTGCACAAAAGTCAACTCCAAATGGATCAAAGACCTTAATGTGAAGCTGGAAACTCTGAAACTATTAGAAGAAAACATTGGCAGTAACCTACAATATATAGATGTAGGAAAGGACTTCTGAATTGGACACCAGTTGCTCAGGAATTAAGGTCAACAATCAATAAGTGGGACGTTGTTAAACTAAAAAGCTTCTGTACAGTGAAAGAATCAAGAAAGTAAAGAGAAAAACCACAGAGTGGGGAAAAATATTCACCAGTGACACAACTGACAGAGGTTTAACAGCCAGAATATGTAAAAACTCAAAATATAAAGAATGAAGAAAACAAATGACCCAAATAAAAGATGAGCTAAAGATCTAAACAGAGAGTTAGCAAAGGAAGAAATAAAAATGGCTAAGAAACATATCAAAAAGTGTTCAACATAGTAATTAGGGAAATGCAAATTTAAACCACCTTAAGGTATCATCTTACTCCAATCAGACTGGCTGATGTCAGGAGCACAAATGATACCATACTCTGGTGAGGATGTGGAATGCTCATTCACTGCTGGTGGGATTGCAAACTTGTGCAACCCCTATGGAAAGCAGTGTGGAGAACTCTTAAAAAACCAAAAATGAACCTACATTATGACCTGGTTATACTACTCCTTGGCATATACCCAAAGGACTCATCCTATTGCAGAGACACTTGTCTAACCATGTTTGTTGCTGCTCTTTTCACAATAGCTAAGAGATGGAAGCAACCTAAGGGCCCCTCTACTGAAGCATGGTTAAAGAAAATGTGGGACATTTACACAAAGGAGTTCTACTCATTGGTAAAGAAAGACAAAGTCATGAAATTTGCAAGTAAATGGATGGAACTAGAAACTGTTATACTAAGTGAAGCAACACAGACAATATATTCTCCCTCACTTATGGATCCTAGCACCAAATCCTTATAAGTGAGTACATATCCTGATGTAACTGCAGGAAGCAGGAAAATGGAAGGAATCCAGGGAGGTAAAGGAAAAGAAAGAATTCAGGAGAGAATAGTAGGAGACCAGAGCTACTAAGGGAGAAATGTGTAAAAAGGGGGTAGTTAAGGGGCAGTGGGAGAAGGAGGGCTATACAAAGAACTATGGGAATAAAGGGGAAGAAGGAGTTCAAAAGAGACGGGACCATAGCATACAAAAATTATCAAGGGAGAAATGGGGAAAAGGGGGACACTTTAAATGAGAAGAGTGGGGGGAAGACAAGACAGGTAGAGAAAGAGGAGAGATAAATAGTGCCTAGCTAGTATAAAATACCAGAGGGAATCATATTATTTCAAAAACCTACTGAAAAATTACACATACAATATCCCTCCATAAGTCCATGATTATAGCTGAAGACTATATAACAAGAAACAGTGCCAGACAGGAGAAGCCTTCCTTTGAATTGTTGGCCAGGGTATTCCAAGAGACTCCCGAAATTACACAGGCTATTACCACAGTCCTTGATTGCCTCCAAGAATTTGATGGTGAGACCCTATTGCTGAAGACAGGACATGCTTTGGCATAGGATTTGGAGTAACGGAGCTGGAACCGACCTGGAAGCCACCTCTCCTGACGGCTAGCTCTCATAGCTTTGGAGAGCACTAAGAAAGCTGGTAAGGGAGAACATCAATCAATGGCCCAACTCTAGCTTCAAGGCCTAAAAACCACATCAATGACCAGCACAGCAAAGGACACTGGCACAGTAGTGGTGCTTCTATCTTGGGGATAATCAACAGTTACCTAATTGGACTTAAAGCCCAGTGAATGGGAGGAAACTCATGTCTGGTACTGTAAACCTAGCCAAATACACATAGCTGGAGAGGACATAGATCTTAGAGAAAACCCCCAAGACTCTCATATCCCTAGACAAATGTTATTTCTTACTATTTGTGCAAAATATGGATCCTTAAATTTATAGACAAGTATTCCAGTCACCACCCATCAAAGTAGCTTCTTTTTCGACAGAGATAATTACAGAGTTCTACAATTGGTCACACACAGAGATTCTCTGTGAATTGCCCAAGCCTAAGTGGCACATCTAGGATTCAACCTCTACACCTAAGACTGAGGGAACACAGAACAAGGGATGAACAGAACACTAATGCATCTTTCAATTCTCATCAATGAAGTTCCCTCATGCAATAGAGGGTCAGAAACACAAAAGGCACAAATGGCCAAAATGCAGAGAATAAGAATCTGCAAAGTGTGTCTGCAAACTTAGGCAGACAGAAACCCAGCACAGAACTGTGGAAACGAACAGCAAGCCCCAATCTTAGTTGAAGAATTATTGGCAGCTGATTATGGCTGGGTGACAAAGAACTGTTCTTGAAGGGAGAGACTCTAGATAAGCTGATTAAACATTGGTGGATGGATTTGCGCTGAGGGACAGCTTGGGACACTAACTTTACATAATAGGCCTTAATACAAATGACATAATGTATGAACTCTAGTTGGGGGGGGGCTATGGAAGCATGCCAAAGGGGAAGAAGGAGAAAGGGATTATCAAGACGATTTTCTGTATGAAATACACAAAAATTCAATAAAAAAAGTTAAAAAAGAAAGTGCCAACAACTATCTTATAATTGAACCTCCTAATGTTTTAATTTTTAAAGCTGTGCAAGAATACTAAAAAGTTATTTTTAAATCATAAGCCTACTTTTTAAAACACTTCAATTCTACTTATATACATGTGTTAACAGTGAAAATACCGCTTCGTTTCCAAATGAAAATAAAGATATAGTTTATAAAAAGCAAGTAAAAAAAATCAGTAATGGAAGTTTGTATATTAAAGACACTTTTTAAAATTTGTTAATATAGAAGATATGCTATACCCATTAAATTACTTAGGTTCCAAATTCCCATAAAAATTGCTAACTAATCACTAATATAGTATCATACAGAAAAAAATGTATGCATTAGCAACTGATGCCCACTCATTCTTCCTGAAAAGAAAATGAACTCATTAATAATACATACCAGTACACTAATAATTTCCAGCACAACTCCATCTTGTGCTTCTACCATAAAAGGGAAATACTTGTTTCTCTTTGAGAAATTCTTGAAACATTAATAACTTATTTGTAATGGCATCTATTTATGATGTTTTTATAAGGACTTCAAAAAAGATGATCTATACACACTTAGGAAAAAATACACATTGCTATATTAATCACTGATTTACATTTAGCAACTTTATTCTAAATAGTGCCTCCTTTTAGAGAATAAAGTCTAGTAATTTGCATTATGAATATAATCATTTCTTGTGAATCTATGACAACTGACTATATTTGGTAGACAAAAATGGCATAAGATTCACTGCCAATAAGCTGCCCATTTAAAAAAATCATTTTCCAGTGAATAAACTCTGTCAACTACCTTCTGGTTAGCAGCATATTTGGCTTGTGCTTATACATGGCAGGTGACTAGTCCATGTGAAACATATCTGACTGGTCTCACTATCTCTTTCATTTGTGAAGCTGAAGTAAGTTCCCCTAGATCCACCTTAGTGTGAGTTTAGAAGCCTATCATGAAGAAAGCTATATGGTGTCAAAAATTAGAACATCTTAGTACAATGAACATTATCCTCTATGTGGTTTTCACATCTGTACACTGATTTGGCACTGGATTATGAAATAAGGAGACCGATAGTAATTCAACAAAAGGACAGAGACTGTTAAAGAAACAAATATTTCCCTTTATTTGAGTGTATTACATCTACTTGTGGGATATTCAAAATAATTGAAATTCTCAATTTACAGGACTATAAATAATGCTACTTAACTGAAACCAGCCAGCAAATAGATTTGAAGAGCTTTACTAATGGAATGGATTTCCATACCAGCTCAGTTTAGTAGTGTCTATAGCAGATTAGGAACTACTGATATTTAAAGTCAGAAGACTAAGGCTCAAGACATTTATCAACAGTGGATTCCTTACTCCTTTGCCAGGTGCACATTGGTGGGTTTTGCTCCAATAGGTATCCCATATTTATGTAAAGTATTGATCAAAATCTCTCTCATGTCGTTGTTGTATGAATCAAAGTCAAACACATTCCGAACCACATTGGAGAGACCTTCGGTGGGAAATTTCTGAATGGAAAAAAAGAATTCCTTATTACATCTGAGATAAAGTATACAACATAAAAATTTAGAAAACTGATAGAGCAATAATGAACAATGAACATGTAATGAACTTTACGAGAAATGCATTAGCCCCATAAGATAACCAGAGGGCCAGAATACATGCACTTTTCTATTTAGCAGTGGCTAATAGAACTTATTTTAAAATACAGAGCATGTTGGGGAGAAGCAGTGCTTCCTTCAGATCTCGGGGCAGTGTTCAGACACTGCTGCTCCTTCTAAAACCCCCTGCTTGTTGCTGTTCACAACAGTCAAGAAATGGAACAGACCTAGAAGCCCACTGACAGATGAATGTATAAAAAATGTGGTATATACACACAGAATGGGTTTTTATGCAGCCATAAAGAAGAATGAGATTATGGCACTGGCATGAACACAAATGGAATTGGAGATTACCAGATGATGTGAAATAAGTCAGAATTAGAGAGACCAATATTTCAAGTTTTCACCCATATGCAGAACACACATATTAAACACATGAAACTTAGGAAACACACCAATACACACAGGACATGAAAGTAGATGGGGGACATTTTCAAGGAGGAGGAGGCGCATAAAAGGCAGTACTAGGGAGGGAAAGACAAAATATCACATGTTCTCTTATATGCACAACCTAATTTTAACTGTATAGACATATATATGGTAAGAAAGCAGAAAGAGGGCCGTTTAGGGGGAAGAAGGGGATCAGAAAGAGGGCAGGAAGGATGATGGGGGATGAGAGTAGAGGGTGAATAAGGACAAGGTACAATGATATGCATGTATGAAAATCTTCTAATGAAGCCATTATTCTGTACTCTAAATAAAAGTCATTTAAAAAGAAGAGAATACCAGATTGATCAATTTAAAAATATCAGGTAAGTAAAAGAAAGTGTTGAATATCAACACAGATACCTATAGAAAACTCAGTCTATGAGTAAGTGCAAAAATAAGATAGAAAGGAAGTGCATCAGATACACAGGAACTAGAGGGTGGAGTTGCTACACGAGGCTGTCCGGAGGAGTACAGGTGAGGAAAGAAGATCCAGGAGGCAGTGCTGGCACCCTCCACCAGCTCTGTCTGCATGTTCTTCAGCTGTTGCCACCAAGCTGGGCGCTGGCCTCATGGTTTCATAGGAAGAAAGAAGCTTTCTCCTCTTCTTCCCATAGATATAGATAGAGCAGAGTTTTGTGGATTTGTAGGACAGAACGTGCTATTTCCATGGCTACAGTATGGTATTATTAAGCCAAGTGGACTAACACTTTCATCACTTTGCATCCTTTTTCAGTAAAATAATCATTTAAAATCTACTGTCTTAGCAACTTTGAAATATACATTCTATTATTATTAGCTGCTCTATAGTCATCGTACTGTGTAATAGATCTCAAAAACCTACTTTTTGTGTGTAACTAAAACTTTGTGCCTTTAATAAACATTTCCCTCTTTTATGCCTCAGCATTCTGTTTCTGTTTTTGTTTTTTAAAGGTTTTCCTGAAGGGTTAGGCATGGGAGAGAACTTAATAATCATAAGGATGTGGCTTTAACCTGGAGACCATTATTTGTTATATAAGTAGAGTTTACATGAATTTTTGTTCTCCTTGCCAAGTGGACCAGACACTGTACATGGGTGACAAGAATTTCATTATCCTGCCCATTTACTCTATTATTATTATTATTATTATTATTATTAATTTATTTAATTTTGGTCTTTTAGAGACAGGGTCTCCCTACAGGGCTACAGCATAGACTAAGCTGGCCTTGAACTCCCAAAGATCTGCTTGCCTCTGCCTCCCAAGTGCTGGGATTAAAGGTGTGCACCACCATGTTGGGCCCACTTACTCTATTTTGTTATAGGTGTATGATCAATTAATTCTTGCTCTGTGTTGTATCTTCATGTCATTTGTTTCAAAAATGAAAACATTTCCTACCCAGAAACCACAAGCTGGTTGGAAAAAGCCAAACAACAGGACAGGAAGGTTTCCTCATTGTCTTATCCCCCCACCCCGCAACTCCACCTCAAATACAACCCCACCACCAAATTTCTTAGCTGCTTAGGATGACTACAGCATAGAACCTTGCCAAAGACAATTCAAAGACTAAAGTGACAATGTTCATTGGTCTTCCAGTTAGGACTTCGCTTACAGGCACTTCAAATCATGCCACCCGACTGAGTCACTGTAGAACGGAAACACTAGTTATGAACTGTACAGTCTGGAAAAGACAGTTGCTTCTTCTAAATATCTGTGCACAGGTGTGTGCCGTACCTGCAAATGTTTGACAATGTTGACCACTTCTCTGGTGGAATAAGGATAGTTAATAACCCCCTGGTCAGCCAAATTCCTCAGCTCTCCGAAGGCTGCCACAAGCTTCTGAAGGATAGGTTCAGACACATTTGGTCCATACTGTTTGAGCATCTCAAGTTCTGAATGTGGCTTGGGGTTATCAATGGCATGGCAGCTAAAAATGTCGCCTAAGGGAAGGAGAGAGAAGATTCATATTCAGTAAGTGGTCAATCCAATAATGCTGCAGGGGAAAATGCAATGGTCATTAAAAACCAGTGGTTGCTTGGCATAGCACAGAAAGCCCATCTGACAACAGCATGCTACAGATAGGAAAGCAAATAACTGAACCAGAAGAAAAGTAGATGGTGTGCGGTTTGTTTTGGATGAGTTTATTCTGCATGAGTTCGTTTCTAGTAAAAGTTACATAATATTTGAACATATGCTTCCTAGAAGATTTTAAAATACAAAAGGGGAGAAACCTTTGTCTTTGCCAAAGTCTCTCTCTCCAAAGGCACTCAATGGTAACAGTTAGTGCAGTTATTTTTGCCAGACCTGCAATGATACATTTAAAATACAAATGCATGTGGGACTGAAGAGATGGCTCAGTTATTAAGAACACTGGCTGCTCTTGCAGAGGATCCAGGTTTGGTTCCCAGCACCCATATGGTGGCTAACAACCATCCTTAACTCCAGTTCCAGGGATTTGACACCTTCTTCTGACCTCTTCAGGTACTGCACAACATGGGTACACTTACATACTTGCAGGCAATACACCCACACACATAAAATAAAAATAATAAATTAAAAATTATGAATGAAGTCTGGTGTGGTGGCACATACTTGTAGTCCCAGCACTTGGGAGGAAGACGCAGGTGGATCTCTGTGAGTACAAGGCCAGCCTGGTCTACATAGTGAATTCCAGGCTAGCTGGGGCATATACCACCATGCCTGGCCTTAGACTGCCCTTTTAACATCAGAAATTATATACATCCATCTGACCCAAATGCTTCTTTAAACTACAAGAGGAAATTAGAATCATCACACTCCAATCAAGTTGTAGCTTATACAGACTGCTAGAATACACCTTTAAGTTAGTTTTAGAAAATGAAGCCTGCAGAGATATAGCCTAAATTAAAATAAAGAAATGTAAAAAATATTTCATCTGTAATTTCAGCAACTAAGAATAGTTTATGCTCAAATAATTTATGCTCTGAAGGATGAATTTTTGATGTATAAGTTTGTACAATTCCATTGATTCATAATCTAAGAGAGTAGGTACCAAAAGGAGTTAGAGTAACAGACTTATGCTATTAATATGTTTATTGTGGAAAAAAGGACAAGCAGAATAAGATCTCATTTTGATTTAGAAACCATGTGAACATACAGCTATTACATGTGCACATGTTGGCATGCCTGTGTATACCAAAAGTAATTGAATAAAATGGTAGCATCATAGCAGACTAAAGTTTTCAAATATAAATATACAGAATACCTTTTGCCTTTTTCTGAAAATGAAATTTAACACTAATGTAAAAAGATACTAGGTCTCTCCTCTCAGTCATCAATGTATGCTATGTACAATCCTAGGCACATTATATACATCAATGAATTTTTTAAAATTCCTGTTCTCATGGAGTTTATATTCTGAGGCGGGGACATAAATGATAAAGATAAATATTGAAAATGTATGTTTCAAAGAAAAAGCACAGACATGGTATAGATAACAGAAGCGGTCAGTTACATGGACTTCATTGAGAAGGTAACATCTGGGCAAATGTAGCTATCTGGAAGAATATTCTAAGTGGTCAATGGAGCTAGCAAAAAGGCTCCAAGGCAAGCATACTGGACACATGGAAGAATGAAGCAAGAGAACAGAGGGACTACAATAGAATGAGTGATGGGGAGAGTGCCCATGGCAGTGTACGGCATGAGGTCAGAGACAAGATATGGGAGACATCACACAGGACACTGAAAACTATCGCCTATAGCTCAGCATCTGAGAGCTGAACTTAAACTCACAGGGAAATGGGGAGTAAGGGGGACTTTAAACAGTGGGGTGGACTGCTGTGGAGAGCAGAAAACAAGGTAGTGGGAGAAAAACATCTACTCATGAGTCTGTAGATCTCTAGCACAGGTCTTCCAAGGATGTCACAGAGCAACAGACTTGGAAAACAGTTTTTCTGAAACATGGCTAGGAATGCTTATTATCAAGTTTAGGTCATCTTAGCTCACATCCTTCTGTAAAAAATCCCACTAGAGGAGTAGGAATTACCTGGCTCTTTTCATGTTGCCCTGGGGCTTGAGCAATCATCACAAATGCTGATTCCCTGACTACTGCTTTGTGTGTGTGTGTGTGTGTGTGTGTGTGTGTGTGTAGACAGGATCTCATATAACACAGGCTGGCTTTGAACTCCTTATCCCCTGATTCCACCTCCCAAATGCTGGTATGTGCCACCATATCTGGCTCTTCTGATTACTGCATTTCTGGCAGAAATAATCCCTCCCTTGTCTCTGATTCAGGAGTCCTGATATGTAATTGTAAGAGGCTAACTTATTAGGTGAAAGGTGAGGTAAAATCTTAGAGCCTTCACAGATCAGGACAAAAGACAATAGTGAAAAAAAAAACCTATTAGGGAGTAATTATAAATAATCAAGATGAGAGAAGATGGTAACTCTGATCAGAATGGAGGATAATGACAGTGATGATAATTCTGAATATATTGTGAGAGCCAGTAAGATTTCCTCACAGATGGCAAGAAATATAAAAGAGGAAAATCAGGGTTGAGGAGAAAGATCAATTCATTGTGAAAATACTAGATCAAAGCTAAGGAGCTGATGATAGGCAGTGGATGGAGTCTGCTGTTCATCAGAGATTTGGCCAGAGATAAATGCTTATCAGTAACAGGTATTTAAATGACACTATAACAGGGCATGGCATGGTCTGATTTTATCAAGGGAATGACTGTAGACAGATAAGAGGACCAGAGCATTCTATGAAGGATTTGATGAAGGAGCTGAGAAAGAGTGGTCATTAACATAGGAAAAGAAGCCAAAAAGCACTTGAAGGAGCATGTGGTTGTTTAAATAAGAATGTCCCCCACAGGCTTCAAGTATTTGGACATTTTGTCCCCAGTTGGTAGCACCATTTTGGGAGGCTTTTGAAGGTGTGGCCTTGCTGAAGGAAGCACGTCACTAGGGACAGGCTTTAAGAGTCCTTAAGCCTTCCAGGATTTTCTGTCACTATTTGCTTCCTGTGCCTGCTTGATGATGTCATCCTTTGACTTTCTGCCCTGGCCACCTCTGCCACCATGCTTCACCTGTCATTATGGACTCTTATGCTTTTGAAACTGTAAACCAAATAAACTCTTCCTTCTTATCATAACAACAGGAAAGCAGCAATACAGAAGTTGGTACCAGAAGCTGGGCTGTTGAAGTGAAGAACTTGACCATGTGGGGTTTTGGAGGAGTATGGAAGACTTTGGAAGTTTGGACTAGAAAAGCAGTTGAATGCTGTTAAGCAGAGCTTAATGGGCCATTCTACTAGGAACCTGGAAGAAAGTAGTGCTGAGAACAATGCAGTTCCAGGAGGAAATAAGAACTTAAACAGCAAGTGGGATATTTTGGTGAAGACTCTGGCTGTTCTCTGACCACTCTATATGCTTGCCTGAACCCAAATTGAAAAGTAATGGACTAATTTCTTCGGCAGAGGAAATTTCGAGACAGCCTAATGTAGAATTGGTGGCATGGTCATTAATAGTGAATATTACGATATACAATGAAAAAGAGCAAATGGGGCAGAAAGAAATGCAGAATGTACAGTTTGGATTGAAAATGAGGACTAGGAAGATCAATGTGGAGCCAAGGCAAGTGCTGAAGGAGAGGATCTCTTTAATAGGGAGATTAGAGCCATTAAGGAAAGGTCTAGAGATGTCCACTCCAACAACAGAATGAGTACCCTCAGGGCAAGGTCACACCCAGCTAAGCCTGCAGCTTGTGAAAGGAAAATACAGAGGGGTTTTCTATTCCTAGAAAATCACAGCATTGAAAAGCTGCTAATGCGGATGAAGCAGCAAGGGTTCATCCCAGGCTGGCAGCTGAACTTGGCAGTGTTGTTCACATGGTGCAGGCTTTAGAGGCATGAAAGATACAAGAGTCATCAGTTCTTCCTCCACAGTTTCAGAGACTGTTGAGGTCAGGCAGCATGCAGCAGGGGTGACCCTGCATAAAGAAGGCCCTGACAGGGCTTGTATAAAGCTGTGAAGGTGAAGCCTGGTTGTCAGTGGAGATGCTGGAGATCCTAACACCATGAGACATCTGCTGAGGAGAGCTAAATACAGGGAGGAGTACCACACCAAAAGAGAGATATATGTTGCATGCAGCAAAGCTGGAGGGGCTGAGCCATGTAAGCCCTTTGGAAATAAAGTCCCAGAAATTGGACATGGAGCTACTGGATTTGGTGTTTTCCTTGCTGGGTTTGGTATGTTTTGTTCCGGTATATCCTCCGTATGCCCCTATTCCTCCCTTTTGGAACAGGAATGTGTATTCACTTCCACTGTATATTGGAAGTGTGTAATTTGTCTTTTGATTTTACAGGGGCTTACAGTTAAGGGATTGCTTGAGTCTAAGAAGAGACTTTGGACTCTGAACAGTGTTGAGATTGGTAAAGACTATGGGGACTTTTGAAGGTAGACTAAATACATTTTGTGTTTATATGGTCATGAGTGGGGGCCAGGAAGTGGAGTGTGGTAGTTTGAATGAGAATGTCCTCCACAGGGTCCAAGTATTTGGACATTTTGTTCCCAGTTGGTGATGCTGTTTTGGGACGTTTTAGGAGGTGTGGCCTAGCTAGAGGAAGCACATCACTAGGGGTGGGCTTAGAGAGTTCTTAAGCCTTGCCAGATTTCTAGTCTCTCTCTGTTTCCTGTGCCTGCTTGAAATGTGATCACTAGTCTTTCTGCTCCAGCCACATTTGCTGCCATGCCTGCACTGCCATCATGGACTCTAATCCCTCTGGAATTGTAAACCAAATTAAATTTTCCTTCTAAAAGTTCCCTTGGTCATGGCATCATATCACAACAGAAAAATAACTCGTACAGAGCACTATGAGTCAAGTGCAAGAAAATGCATTAAGGAGAGGAGAGTCACTGATTATACCAACTATTCTCAGTATTGTTAATGGTTAAGTAAGACAAGGACTTCTTTGGTGTGTTCACACTACTGCATCTGTAAGAGCATCAGTCATGCAAGAATCATTAACAACTTGTAAAGTAAAAGCTTTATAAACTAAAAAGTATAAAATAGTATAAATGAGTCTGTAGTACACATACACCACCTTGCCTTAGAAACGCATATAGTGGAACAATGTACCCACTTTCATGATTTATTGTTTCAATGAATATTATGAGGATTGATTTTTCATTTCATCATGAGTTATTACCTATCTCATTTTTTTTAATGAATGCATTTAATAGCTGCATAGTATTCAATTGTGTGAATACAATGGAATGTTTTTGTCTTCTCTGGGGGACATTTAGACTGTTTTCATTCTTGTTATTATAAACACTGCTGTATTTCTCATCTTTGTATTTAAATCATTGTATAGGTAAATCCCTAGGACAATCCTTGGCATGGAATTGCCAGACCCAAGATCCTTACAGGAGACTGTGCCTGCTTTGTACTGAATATGAGATTCCAGAGAAGAGAAGGCTCCTTCACAGCATCTAATGATAACTTCACTTCCTCCCTAATCATTATGAATGAGTCTCTAAAGAGTTGGCCCCAGTGTCTTCACAGTTATGGGGAGGTGACAGAAATAGACACTGAAAGTCACTGATGGCTTTCTTCCAAAGAGCACTAACAACAAAGTATAGTGTAATTGTTTAAGAAAGGTGCTGAATGAAAATCAGACATACAACCTAGTTCCACCACTCTTTAGCTAAGTGACGGTAGAGAATTTAAAGATCAAAAACTCTCTTTCTAGGACTAGCGAGATGGCTCAGTGGGTAAAAATGCCTGCTGCCAAATCTGATGACCTGAGTTTGATCCCTGGGACCTACAGGTTGGAAAGGCGAATTAACTCCCCAAAGTTGTCCTCTGACCTCCACTGTGGCAGGCACCTCCCCAAATACAGAAAATAAATAAATGTAAAAAAGAAAAACCCTCTCTCCCCAAGGTGAGTTTGATGGAGACATGCCCATGATGAGCAATGATAGCCACTATAGCACTGCTATTAAAATTATCATTATCACAATTATTGGTATTTTTATAATCATTTTTACCTAAAGTGCCAAAGAAATCATTGCCTAAGAAAGGAAATCCAGGTCGGTTGGCAAGAACAACCATCCTAAAATCAGGATGGATTACAATAACATTTTCTCTTCCAGCCACATTAGCAGCATCTGAAAAACAAAATTTCTAGTTATTCTTTAGTGACATATGATAAATATTAAGAATATCATGTTACAGATTTTAACATAAGTAGGAATATTGTTCAATTAAAAAAATACTCTCAAATATTGGGTTGCAGAAAAACAAACTTTCTTGAGAAAGACAGTTCAAGAACAGAATACCGATTAAAGAACATACTACTAACAAGAACTTTACATTTGCACAATTCAACATATATCTGAAAGGCAAACTTGTCCAAGTGTCTTACAGTACTTTAACCTTGCTTAAGATATATTATTGAAAAAAACTTAAAAGGGGGCTAGTGAGATGGCTCAATCCCCGGGTTCTACATAATAGTTGAAAGAGAGAATTGACTCAAAAATTTGTCTTCTGGTGCTGGAGTGAATGCTCAGTGGTTAAGAGTGCATACTGCTCTTCCCGAGGACCTGATTTTATTCCCAGCACCCATATCAGGTGGCTCACAACTGCCTATAACTCAAGCACTGAACATATGTGCCCAAACCCACACACATATATACATAATTTAAAAATAATAAAAATATTTTTTAAAAAGACTTCTTAAAATAAGTTGTCCTCTGATGTCTACAAACTTGCCATGGTACAATCATACCCCTACACGCATCATAGAGACACATACACAGTAATAAAACAGTTAAAAAGATAAAATCCTGTAATGACAATATCTAAGAGAGAATACGAATATTCTTTACTTTTTATCAACTGCATCTTGCTGCATAAAGTAGGCCATTGTAATTCTGTAGCTTAAGAACCCCATATCCATCTAACCATACAGCCCACAACCTACATAACACAAGCCTCCAAATCCTTGTCAAGTCCTTAGTGAAATGTTGGTTAACTTCTAATTAGGGAATTCTAACATAATAAGTGATCTTAGGTTGACAGTAGGTTTTAAATATTATGCATATATTTAAGGTAGTGAAGGAATTAAATATCACTATTTATTGGCTGATATACATTTTGGATGTACATATTGGTTCAAACAATTAATTGAGGTAACTAAAGCTTTATTATGGTTATTTTAAGAACCACTTGCCATCTGGGCTTATTTAAACCCCAGCCTTAGACCATCCATCTTTAAAACATGAAGGCTATGATATACCTCAAGTGTGAGATGAGGCCATAATATCTGACAGTCAAAGTTTATTACAAACAGTAATTTTTCAAGGTGCTATACATTGATGTGCTAATAAAACCTATAGTTTTAACATTTGATTGCCATTAATTTTAGTAATGAGAAAAGTGAACAGTATGCAACCACAAGTAAAACATAATAAACATGAAACTCTTAGAAAAAGTAAAAAAAAAAAAAAATGTAAAAGATAGGCCTAGAATTGGTGACTTGTGAAACTCTGCTCAAAACAGCTTCAGGTGCTGCTGATTAAATGTCACCCACAGGGCTGTGTGTGTGGTGAAGCATATCTTCATCATCAGTGAGGCCCTGGGTTCCATATCCAACACCAGAAAAAGAAGCCATTTACAATTACGCTTGAGTTCAAAAATTATTATGTTCACTTACTTCTAGGCAACCCTAAATAAAAAATAGGTGAAAATATCAAGCAAGTCACCCCTTAACTGTGACTTTTGTTTCAGTGATTCTTTCTTCCTTTTAATTTTATTATCCTCATAAAAGGAGCAGAAAGAATTCTAATCCTGAGCACCTGAGGGATGCTAACAGACAGTATTCAGGTCAAATTCTACCCCCCCCACAAATTTATTGTGAAATTGAAATAATAGAATACCATTTTTATCCATGCTGAGTTGAGCCCAGAGTGGCAATCTCATTATGAAACACCCAAAAGGAACAATTCTGTGATGTGGAACTTTACCTTTCTAATCAGCTTCTGTATTGGTGTTCTTCAAGTAATGAAGATTTTAGTTACTATCTGCATCTTGTTTGGTTACTTTGCTACTGGGTATATACTATCTTTGGCTAGAGATTTTCAACTCTTTTCAGGAGGTAAATATTTAAAATTAGAAACTAGAAAAGACTCTTGAACTGTATCTAGCAAACTTAAATTTTCTTGTGGGCTACATACAGCGATGAGGCTAATTTATCCTCATTTTCTCCTAAGAATAACCACAATAATTTCTTGAATTAGAAGCGAGTGTATTATATGCTATATACAGACTAATGTATGAGTATACGTATACACATATGAAATAAAATACCTGTTTTTTTAAAAAATTGTACTCAGTCAATAATAAAATAAATCTTAATGTTGCAAACAATATAAATGGGACGGAGACTTAAAAAATTCCAGACAGCAATTAACAGAAGAATTCACACACAAAAAATTGAGAAATGAGTATAAAGAGTCAATGTTGACATTTTTAGAGTGGAAAAGTACTTACTTCTACTACTGGAATTTTTCAAAATTGCTCATAAGAAAGGAAAACTAGGGCTGAGGATGTAAGTTAGTAGCAAAGCATGTGATTGCCATGCCTGAGGCCCTGGTTCAACCCTGAACACCAAAAATAAAAAATTAAAACCAACAAATCTAGATTTAGATATTAATTTTTGTTAAGTGTCAATACAATTATATTTGTATTGAACTTATACTTCTTGCTTGCATGTAGGTAGACAGCTAATTTGTACCTTCCTACCAAACATACAAAATTACATGTATTCAAGAAAATGTTGCTTTTTAAATACTCACTTGCAACAATGCGTCTTCCATCTGCTAGAATCATTTCTCCATTTTCTACTAGAGTTTTCAAAATACAGGTGACATTTGTTGGGGCTTTGTCAGCCTCATCTACTACTAGAATATGACCCAACTTTACTGCTTTAACCTTTGAAGACAGAAAATTTATCATAAGCAACAAAAGAATGAAAAATAGGCATTATTAAAAGATTATCACTTACTGCTTTTAATTGATTATAGCTGATTTTAAGTTACAATTACAGTACTACACACATTCAATCCATAACAAAAGCTTCACACAGTTACTAAACTTCACACAGCTTCCAAAACTCAATGGCAAGCTTATCATTTCCTCTCAGAATTGGTGATGATTCTCAACAATATTTCACTCCCCAGAATAGGGGAGATTTAAAGAAAGTATAATAAACAAATAATAAATAAATATGCCACAGAGTAAGACACCACAGTCACTGTGAGTATTAGAACACTGCACATGTTATGCTCTTCAGAGAGTCAAAGGTTAACAGATCAGAACTGATGGTGCTAAAGAGGTGGGTATTCAAGGCAAAGAGAATCAATGGTCAAACTCCTGGGGCATATTTGAAGAAGACTGAACATGGACAGCCTATTTTATCTCTAAGAGATTAAATTTAATAAAAGGCCTAAAAGGGGTAGATTAGGTTTCCACTACTAAGAAATGGGTTGCCAGACCAAGAAATGTGTCCTTACCTCATCAAGTAATGGGTTATAACACTATTTGTGAGTTCACACATGGCAGAAATGTAGCACTGAGCCCAGCTTCAGGACCTATTGGCAGCAATACACAGGCTAGACTTGGCTAAAAAGGGTAGAGGAAACTAAGATGGGCATGGAAAAATGGAAATGAACATTAAATTGCTCTTCCAGAGAGGTAGGATGTACACAATTGTACCTACTTGGATAGGAAGAAGAGAAAGGAAAGCAAGCATTCTACGCCTCAGTTAACCATGTGACTGGTGATGCCATGAAACGATGAAAACTCAGAACTCTTAAAAACATTTTTAAGGGGGGTGGATATGAGGAGATTCTCTATAAATTTCAATGTAATATAGTGGACCATTTAAATTTTTCTTATTGAATAATTTTAAGAAATCTCCAACAGGAGATTCCAAAGTCCCTGGTCCCCAGGGCCTGGCCCACAGGGGTTCCATGTCAGCTGTGTGTTGTGCGGCTCTCTGCCTGGCAGGTTGCAATTCTTTGAATCTGGAGTGGGGTATTCGACCTTCTCAGCTTCCCAAACACTGAGTTAATATTTTATTATTTGAAACATTATTTTAAAAAAAACCTCTTGTAGAAATATTATTTCTTTTCAATTATGACAACAAACTTAAAATGACTTTGAAAAGGAATCGGCAGAGGATTTGTTGTCATTCTCAAGAGAGAGCAGAATAAGAACACATTATTTTTCCAATGATTTTCACTTAAATATCCACATCTAAAATGATACATGAATGTGTACCAATTAGAGTGAAAGGCATTGTAATCTATGAGAGATTTCTTCCATCTATTCAAAGGTGAAATACAGTCATCATTCAAAGCACTGAAAACTATTTGCATCATTGGCTTACTGACCAAAGGCGAGTCTTCATACACAATTAGTCCATCTTTAACTGAAGGCTGAAGGGTCAGAGTCTGTACTGTGGTATCCCTGAATCAAAATAAACATTTCATAGTTAGTAAGGAAATAAATTAATGTTTGACCATGAATAGAGTTCTTCTTTTAAATTTTAATTTGTCATCCTGCTTTTCCCAAGAAAAATTAAATAAAAAATGAAATTTAATCCCACAACAGAATTCTGTTTATGTAATATAAATTATAAAGGTCTGGAAATTAATACATTTTTCTAAATTCTTCTCTTTTTCTTTCTGGTAATCTCATTTGTAGTCATTTAATTTCTCAAAATCATTTCCTGAAGATGAAGAGAACATTTAAAGATATAGTCACATTACTATATATTATCTCGAAGGCTTGTCATTTAAAAATAATTTTGATAGCAAGTCTACGAATTATACACTCTGGCCCAATCTGCCATCACTAGTTGCTAAGGCCAGATTGTATTATACTATTCTAAGAACATGAAGAGTTACATAATAGAATTTTGAACATTTTAACTGAATTTAAGATTCCTTTCCTTTTCTTTTTATGGTGTTGGGAATGAAATCCAGAACCTTGCATCATTTTATTTTTAATCTATTCTTTTGCTGTTTATCTGACTTTCTTTTAAATTAGGCCCTTATATGGTATTAACAGTGAGTTATCCTGATGTTGTGAGCCTTTGTTCTGATGAGATGTGAGGTACACATCACCTGTGAATATTTTTGTCAAACGTGTGTGCAGTGCTGCAGGCAATAAATAGGTAAGTTCTGGTATTTTTAAGAAAATCAATTTTATATCTTTACTTTCCACATACATTGTATCTTAAAATGAAAATCCCATGGCCAGCTTGATCGTGTTACAGATAATAGAATTTTTATAGAGAATAAAATTTGATTAGCATCTTTCTTTAAAAGAGCTCAAAGTTATCTTTCCAAAGAACACTGCTACTTATTCAAAGTAATCACTAAGTTGCAGTTGTGCTGTCTTGAGCATTTACTATGTGTAAGACACTGTCAGGAATGTGAACTTCAGGCCTCTGAGCTATAATATATTTGTGGAACTTAGACCCAAACACCAAACTTTACTACCAACTTTTCTAAAAATTTACATGTCAATCAAAAAAGAGGCAAACTTCAGATACTTAACCCTTGTATTTTAGTCAAACAAATTCAATCAAAACCAACTATTTGCTATGAGAGGTAGTTGTGGGGTAGTAGAATGGGAACTATGGAGTCAGGTCAGTCAGTCTTCACACTCTGGTCCTGGCCTATTATGATTGTGGATAAATAATAAAATCCACCCAGGAATACTGGTGAAGGAGGGCTCAGAAAGTGTAGCACATTACTGGACAGACAGTGGGAGCATAATTACACACCAGCTTCAGCCACGTGCCATGACTGTCATTGCTGTTGTTGTGCCCAAAATGTCCCTTCCTGTCTAACTTTGACTTGATCCTCAGGCTTTCAGCTCAGGCAGCACTTACTGGAAATCTTACTCTTGATGGTTTGCAGACTAAGTTAGGCCACTCTGCTTCATGTTGCCTCTGAATCCTGATCTCCCCATCTCAGTCCTTGCATGCTATGTTGTATTTTGTTTTGTTTTTTTTGAAAGATTTATTTTATTTTCAATTATTTGTCTCTGTGTGGGTATGTACATGTGAGTGCAGTTGACCAGGGAGATCAGAGGGGTCAGATCCCATTTGAGTTGAAGTTACAGGACATTGTAAGTCACCCTATGTGGATGCAGGCTCTCTGGGAGAATAGTGACACTCTTAACCACTGAGCCAGTCCCCTAACACACTATATTGTCAATATTTATTTTATATCGACCTTTCCACACAGACTATGAGATCTAAGAACACAGAACATTATCTTCATTTTGTCTCCAGTATCTAGCAGATATCTGTTTTACATGAGGAACTTAAGTATTTGTTGAATAAGTGAAATACAAACAACAAAAGTTTTTTTTTTTTTTTTGCTTTTTTTTTGTTTTTTAAAAGACCTGAACATTGTCTCTTATAGTATAGGATATGAAATGGGCTTCCAAATTCATTGGCTTAGGAAACTCTTTTGTTTTTAAAATAGAAAGGCTAGCATCCACTCCAGGAAATACTGGGTTAGATTAAGGCTGACTCTTGACGCATGACTGGTCCTGGTGATCTTTAAGTCTTTATAAGAAGCAGAGTGATGCCAATGGGGTACAACTGGAATTGATTAGTCAATGCACTGAGAGTTGATGGTTCACCTCTATCTTGCACAGCAGTTCAGCTGAATTTAACTTACTATTGCAGTGGGTAAAGTCTACATGAGAGCCCTAAGGTGCCAGGGCTCGGGCAGATATATGGGCAATAATCATTGACCTTCACAATTTCCAGGCTTCCTGTCTTATTACCACCTCATAAAGAATTCTCCCCCAAGCGTGATCAAGTGGTGATGGGTTTCTTCAGTTGTTCCCCTTGGGTCTGTCTCTGACGCTCCCACTCATAACTGTGGCTCTGTGGGGGGCTTGGCCCTGTCCCTACGGTTGAATGCTTCTTCCAATTCATGAAGAATATATTTTTAAGAATTATTCTATTGTCTTCAATGAAAATCAAATATAAATGTCTTAAAAATCCCTGAGAAATGTAAATAAAAGTGAAAATATAGTGTGGCAACTTATGGTTGCTTTTCAATATGTTTCTTGCAGCATTAAGCTATCTAGTCAGAAATCCACCTTCTGTATTCACAGATTTCATAAATTTACTGTCAGTCATACTTTATACTATCTTCTGAAGATAAACTACTTTTTAGTTTTGAACAAATTAAGAACAATGTTTAATTAGCTTACTTAAATTTCACTGTTAATATTCTGGCAATAGGGAAGGGGGTGGGTGAGGAAGGGAAAAGATGTTTTCACACAGATTTTTATAGCAACATAATGAATGTCTCACCTAGCACTCACATACTTAAGGGGCAACAACCATGACACCTTTCAGCACCAAAAAGGAAAAAGAAAATCTTGCATCATTTTTAGTCAAAATGAAATTCAGTTGTTACTTCAACAATTATAGTGCTTCAAAGCACATTAAAAACAGTGAATTCAAACTGAATCCTAATTTTAAAAAAGGCAAAATAAAACTGCTCTATAGTACCTGAATTCTGATAGCAGTTTGTCAGATTAGATTTCTCTAAAGACTAGTGTTAGAAGTAAGAAACATATGTTTTTGAGAAAATACACAAATCAGATGATTTTCAAAAGAGACTAAAATGAAGATAAATACAAATGGGAAACATGATTTTGGTGGACTAGGTTATGAAAAAGGAAACTGTAGGATAAAAGTGTTTGCTCTGTCTTACTATTGATACTTTCTTCTTGAACATCAAAGGGAAAGCAAAAGTTAGTAAAATATGTAAAATGATATTGAACTTAAAAATAGGCTGGCTTTTATTCTGGGCAGTTACTCTGATGAAATCGGGAGAAAGGCGACACAATGCACTATGTTTTGTATGGTACTCCATGGAATAAGTAAAAGACATTTGATAATATTACAAACTTAAAAGTCAGGAAGTGATAAGGTACTTACTGTGGTTGGAGATAACACATGAATAAAGCACCTAATGACAATATAATATTTTTATCCCAGAGTATTTTATTAAAATCATTGATTTACCTTTATGAGCATCTTGAGTCAAAGATATTAATTCTACACATACCAAGCAATGCTCCTAAAAGAATACATCACTGCAATTTCAAAGCTATTTTGACTTGTTATTTTCAAAAACAGCTTTGAAATATAAACTAACAGAAGTTAAGCATCAACAATACTGGGAAGAAGAAAAGTTAAACTACATCCTAGCCACGGTTTCTTTAGTCTAAAGCTTAATAGAGATGTTTCCCAGTTACCAGTGATGCTTGAATTATTGCTCAGCTAACTGTTGACATTTATGCCATGACCAATTTTTCTTGCTTCGTACCAGTATACAAACTATTGCTGTCTATCAAAGCTTATGTCAATAAATCGATAGTTCAAAGAAATATTGTGCTAACCTCTATTTTTCTTTTAATTATAATTTAAGACCTTTTTTGAAGCTGAAGTTACTAATGTTCTTAACTTAAAATGATTCCAGATGCAATAAAACTAATTAAGTTATGTACAGACCAGGTCTTTGTTAAAATCAGGAAATAAAACTGGCCCCTGGAAACCAAATGCAATCTGCTCTGAAATGCTGCTTGTAAAAGTACATGAAGCTGTCTTCTAATTTATTGAGGAGTAAAAATATCAGAATAAGGAATATTTATTTTGAGGATATTTTAATTAGTTTCATTTTCACAGATTTAAGTCAGTTTTTCTTTTAGAAAAATAACAGCCAAACCTAAGGGTGAAAGAAAAACAGAAGACCTAAGAGCTTCAGATAGCCTATATCTTCTTTAGGACTTTATAGCCTCCTGAAACACAAGTGTCTATGGGAATAGAGCACTCAGTAATGTGAGTCAAACATGAGAAAAGAAAGCTGAATTGGCTCAGAAGAAGCAAAGAACACAGATTCCCTCCGAGCTTTAAAAAGAGGGAGGCTGGTCATGGTGGTGCACACCTTTGATCCCAGCATTTGGGAGGCAGAAGCTGGTGGATCTCTGTGAATTTGAGGCCAGCCTTGTCTACATAGTGAGTTCCATGCTAGCCAGGGTTACACAGCAAGACCCTGTCTCAAACAAACAAACAAAAATACAAAGAAAAAAGATGAACTAGGGGGCTGATATAATATCACTAAATGAGAAGATACTTTTCAAGTGAAAAGTTCATGACATCAAGAAGACAACTTCTTTTTAAGTATGTTTGTTCTTTCACAACTTCATACATGTACATACAGTTTTCTGTTTACTCTCATCCCCTCTTTCTAATCTCCCTCCCATCTCTGTTATCACGTGCCCTTCCCTACAGAACCCTTTCCCAAATTCATGTCCTTTTATTTTGTTTTGTGACCCACTGATTTTAGCCAGACCCATCTGTGTTTAGAACTATCCTTTGGAGCCTGATGGGCTCACTGTTGGGTACATCTAAGGACAATGACCAT